GAATGATCGAACGATGAATGAAAAGTGTGTTAATGTTGTAATTTTTGATTTAGTAGATTCATAAAATATTATTATCAACATTATTCACCCATTCGCAAATGAAATTCACCTTTTTTCAAATTAAATTCACTTGTAATTATTCGTATTAAAATTCATTATAAACATTAGAAATTCAATGGCATAAATAATTATTGAAGATGAATGCAGATTAATTCAGATTAATTACTGTAGATTAACGTAGATTAATGAAGATTAATTATTGGAGATAATAAATTAGTGTTATTGAAGATAATTAGTAATGGAAGCATTTTATTTTGAAGATAGGTATACAAATTCATATTGAAAAATTAAATACAAAAATGGCCAATTTCGATCTGCAAAAGGGTGCTTTTTGTTTGCATACAAATGAATATGATCTCCAAAAGGATTAATCAGCAGTGCAAAAATATGAACGTGATCTAAAAATGATGAATTTGATGCGCAAATAGACAATTGTGGTCTACAGAAGGATTAATTAAAAAATTTGTAATTAAGTAAATTGATAAATAGAAAAAAGATTTTGGACGTAAAAAGATTTTGCAAATATATTTTGTATTGAATCGATCTCGTAGCATCCAATTGATTTACAAAAAAATAATAAAACAATTTAATAAAAAACGATAACGTCGAGATCCTGCATTTGGCGATTTTCAAGCGCGTCTGCAGTATTTCCCACAAAGAGAATACCAGTCAAGGTTTCGTCGCGAATAAATTCGAAACGCATTAGCAGATAGGCCGGTTCACGGTGTGCCTTACGAGCGGATCGCCTGAGAAATCAGCACAAACAATTCCGGCGCATGCAAGTCGAATTTGTCACTCACCTCCAGAATGTCGATTGTCCCGCTCGTCGTCCGTCACGTTCACGCGCATCGAGTCGTCCCCCATGGACTTCATGTCGTCAACAGTCATGTATCGATACTGCTGTTGGTCGCTGAGCATCGGATCTTCACCTGTGATCAATAGAAAATCGAAACTTTACTCGCTGCGGGCGATCGGAGACGGGAAAACGGCGACCACGACGACGACGACGACGACGACGACGACATCCAAATTCGCGCGAAATCAATCTGGCAATTCGAGCGGACTACCACTCTGTTTCTACATTGCAGTTTCAATGAAAATAGTAGAAATTCTGCTTTGTTCGTCAAGTTTTATCTTTGAACAGTTCGAGCGTTCTTTGCAGAACTGCATCGGTGCAATTGAACTTTGTAGACAGGACACTGCAATTTTGCATATATCATGATTTTTCGCTTTCTTTTTGGTTTTGGAAAGGAAGTATCATCATTCTCTATTCCAAATTAATTTGTATATTCGTCTTTTTGCAGATAAAAATAATTTTTATGGATTATAATCGTTTTTTTAGCAAGTAAAAGCAACTTTCGCAGGTCTTGCTCACCTTTTCGCAAATGAAATTCACATTTTCGCAAATTAATTTCGCTTATTTGTAATTACTTCTAATAAATTGAATACGAAATTTAACAAAATGATAAAAGGCGATCGATTTTACCTGTGAAATGAATTTTATTTGCATTGAATTTTATTTCATTTGCATTTCATTTGCGACGGGACGAATGAAATCTGCAAAAAAGTTAATTTCGTTTGCAAAAACCTGCATATGATCTACAAAAAGATTAATTTTGAGTGCAAAAAAAGAAATCGAATCAAAATCAAAGATATTATATTTTACGCGGTATCCACTATTATAACAATATATAATAAAATGTTTGCACAACAGAAAATCCCAATACATTTTTCGTCAAAGTTACGCAAAGATACCAAATGATATATTTCGAACAAATATAGCAACTGCACTGTGCAACCGTACCAACGCAGTTCCGCAAAAAAAAACAACCAAATTGCTCTATAATCGAGCTGAACAATCACAGCAAAACTGCACCCGGTGTTTCGTTCCAGCCGCGATAGAAACAGAGTCGCGGCCAAGTGCAGTTGCCAGATCCATGCCGCGTATGTACTTCGCAAAATTCAACGATAGTATATGGTCATGTATAAATCTAATAGTATACTGTTGAGGTTGCATGGGCAGAATGAGGAACGTAGTGAAAGTCTCATATAATATATGCACCAACGTAAACAAATGAGTAATGAGCCTGCAAATCAAGAGAAAAATCATTGCCATAGAAATCATCTCGATCAAGCCTGAAGAAGCGAGATTTTAAGTGTCGTGTCTCGTATCATGTGCGCGAGATTGTGTGTTCGGCTTCGCTACGTGGACGAATTGTGACGGGTGACGACGAGTCGATGGTTGAAGAGGCTTCGAGAGCTCACTGATAACGTTATCGGCGGATGGAACGCGGAAAACTGGTTCTAAACGAATGACTGTTTCAACGAGTCCTAGATTATCGAGATCTGTCTACACTAATTCAGCGACTTCGGCTAATCTTCTATGGAAACATTCTTCTAGGACGCAGCAAATCTATGGAGACCTAGGGCTAAAATATTTTTGCGACAATGCATTGGTTGTATATCTAGGTCACAGATTTAAAATATATGGATTCTAGACTATAGTTGTAAAATATTGATTATAAATTATAATGTAAAATATATAGAGAACGTTGATTAACATGTAAAATATATAAATCATAAATTATAATATATAATACAATATATAGATTATAAATTATAATATGAAATATATAGATCACAAATTATAATATAAAGTATACAGATAGCAAATTATAACGTAAAATTAATTTGATCGTCAATTAAAATATAAAATATATAGATCATAGATTAAATTGTGAAATATATAGATCATAGATTAAATTGTGAAATATATAGATAGTACATTATAATATAGAATGTAAAGATTATAAACTATAATATGAAATATATAAATCACAAATTGTAATATAAAATATATAAGATAGTAGATTATAATGTAAAATACGTAAATCGTAGATTATAATATAAAATATGTACAACACAAATTTAAAATAACTGACATTAAAAACAACAGCAATGTATTTAAAAAAAAATTACATTTGTTCTCATTTCAAGTTATTTCTTAATTCTTGATTTTTGAAAGTCTTATCGTATAGATACTGTTTAACGCGATAAGTACCTTGTTTTCACTGAAGAAAATAAACAAAAACCACAAATTTTAACAGTAATTATTAATTTTTCTTATAATCGATGCCTTTAAATTTTTTTCCAGCAAGAAAATTTATTATGCCAATTATTATTTCAATTTGATAATAGTAGATTCTAATGAAGATCTTCGCCACGCGAGCCTGACACGAGTTTACGATGCAGAAGTAGAAGGTAAATATGAACAATATAATTATACTGCGGACTTCTATGCATTTTCTATGCATCTATCATATCTTGAATTATTTTACCGAGTTGAACATAATACAACAGTATTTTTTCATTCTCGAAATGTTTCCACCGTTTTCCATTTGATCTCATTTTCGTCCTAAGTGCGTCGAATCCGCAGTTCAATTATAATAAAAACAGAAGTTGCGACTTTTAGCGACCGTAGAAGACGAAATTGATGTACGTTTCGAAGATTTCCGACGACAGCGACGCGTGACAGAAGCGAGCTGGTCGACGCGAACCGATCGAAAACTCTCGGCGACCGAACACTTGAGAATCGTGTCAACGACGATAACGCAGCGTTCTTACCTGCTTCTGGCTATAACGATCTTAGGCGATATCGCACGGGACAGTTCGACGGTGAAATTCGTCGAAGCGTTGAAAACGGCCGCGTGGAAACGGTATCGGATTTTTCACGCGACTGACGAATCGACACGGTTATCCAATCGGTTTATACAACGTCGAAAACGCCTTATCAGATATTCCGAGATTGCCGGGTACAATTATTTAATAACAGCCCGGCCTACAAAACCGACGCGCGCGACGGCTAGCGCCGCTGTAATTCCAATCGTGATTCCAATCATAATTCTAAATCGCTTTCAATTCTATTCTGTTTCCTTACGATGCGTAAATGCCGCTTTGTCACCGACGGGATTAGGTTTCCTCGGCGCAATTGCTTTGGGCAATTTCGTGTTCAATGATGGCGCCATTTTCATCGATTGCGAGTCGACTGAGTGGCTCGGTTATGGTGATCGAGAAATAGTGATTGCTAGATTGATTGCATATCATGTGGGAGATCAGTGCTTCGCGAAAGAGCATTTTTTGAAGTATCAATAATAATTTGTTTAGGGAACTAGATCGTGTATCGATGATTTAAATAATGAGGGAGGGGAACAATATGGCCGGAGATTTTGTTACGCACATAATCAAATAATGTTTTGCAACTTCTGCAGTGAGGTATACAGGGTGTCCCAGAATTATGTTAAGGGGCGATTAATATTAAGAGGGGCGATTCCTGAGGCGATTCGAAGCAACTTTTTCCTTAGCGAAAATGCAATCCGCGGCTTTGTTTACGAGTTATTAATGAAAAACACTGGCCAATGAGAGGCGAGATCAGCTGGCGCGAGTCGGCCGAGCCAATGAGCGGAACTGAGCTTCGTGCGCCCGTTGGCTGGGCCGCCCCGTGCCGGCCGCGCTCGTCTCTCATTGGTCACTGTTTTTCGTTAATAACTCGTAAACGAAGCCGTAGATTGCATTTTTGATAAGGAAAAAGTTACTTCAAATGATCTCAAGAATCACCCCTTTCCAGGTGTTAACATAATTATGAGACACCCTGTAGAGTCCTGATATTGCCATTATATCAGCATTCGTTCTTAAAGTTAGAATGTTGTTTGAGAATTTGTACTATTCCAGTGATAGTTAACGTATTAGATGGGTAGAGCTGTGCATATTTTTTCAATCACGCAATGTGCAGTTTCTTTCAGCATGTTCTCCTAAAATTATTCTAAAATACCTGATATATTTATAAGTACGTCTGATAAAAATGTTCATTTGATTACTGAGACGAACGTGTTGCAAGACAAAAATAGTTTCGCAAACATTGGATAACAAAAATAGTTTCACAAAGATTGAAAGACAAACATTGTTTTACAAAGATTGTACTCCAAAAAATTGTTTCACAAAGATTGTACCGCAAAAATTGTTTTACATCCAAAAATTGATTATATTAAAAGATTGATCCGAAAATTGTGTCCCAAAGATTGTTTTACAAACGACAATTTTGTCGCAATGATCGTAACACAAAAAAATCGTTTTAAGAATTTCACGGAGGGGTTGTTTCTACTTCAAAAAATTGTGTTACGTACACGAAAAATAGTTTTACGAAGATTGCACTTCGCGATCGTATTTCAAAAATCGTTTCGCGAAGACCGTAAGACATCAAAAATTGAGCATGCTCGTAATTACCAGCTGGCGTAACAGCTGCAACCATGGTGCAAAGAGGCAAGGTGTTCGATTACATTGTTCGACGAATGAAACTGCTATGTGTTGATTGGAAATGTAATTGGAGGATCCTTGGTTGTTAATCTGTGAATTGGGTGGTCTTTCAATTCGAAACACTTAACAGCATATAACACAAGGTGAATAGAATTAACGTAACATCATTTTTGTCGCAATCGACGCGAATATGACACAGTTCATACCACGTGGATGACACGATGGATTACGAGCCGTGTTCCACCGGAGTCTTTCTAAAAATTTGCTCGACTGAAATTGCAGGAGTTTCGTATTTAAAATTCATTTGCTATTCATTTGCGATTCATTCGCGTTTCATTTGCGGCTCGTTTGAAATTCATTTGCTATTCGTTTAGAATTCATTTGCTATTCGTTTAGAATTCATTTGCTATTCGTTTGAAATTCAAATTTGTTCTGTATAGATTGCGAAAAAAAACATAAGTTATCCATTTATGATTTTATTTTGTATTAGAAGCTTAATTTGCCAAGTTTTTATGACTTTATAATTTAACAAAATATTACTTTATAATAATGATTGAATTAATTTATATCATTTATCTGGAATTAGAGTGGCTCATCTTTTTGTACTTTCTAATTACTA